CGCTTCCACCCCCAAAACGCGGAAGGATCCACACATGTGCAGGAAGTGCAGCGAACGCTCTTCATTCGCGAGCGCCGATGACTGATGATGCTCGCAACCCTCCCACGCCCTTGCTGGCTTGTTAATAGGCCTAGACAAGCGCAGCCACATGACCCAGCGGAAGAAAAAAGCTCAGAACCAGCGCTTCCATCCCCAAAACGCGGAAGGATCTGCACACGTGCAAGATGTGTAACGTGCGCTCTTCATTCGCGAGCGCCGTTGACCGATCATGCTCGCAACCCTCCCACGCCACTGCTGGCTTGGTAATAGTCCAAGAAAAGCGCAGACAGGTGAACCGGCGGAAGAAAAACACCTGGAACAAACGCTTCCAGCCCCAAAATGCAGAAGGATCCGCACATGTGTAGGATGTGCAGCGGGCGCTCTTCATTCGCGAGCGCCGATGACCGATGATGCTCGAAACCCTCCCACGCCCTTGCTGGCTTGGTAATAGGACCCGACAAGCGCAGCCACGTGACTTGGCGGAAGAAGAACGCTCAGAATGAGCGATTCCACCCCCAAAACGCGGAAGGATCTGCACATGTGCAGGAAGTGCAGCGGGCGCTCTTCATTCGCGAGCGCCGATGACCGATGATGCTCGCAACCCTCCCACACCCTTGCTGGCTTGGTAATAAGCCCAAACAAGCGCAGCCACGTGGCCTGGCGGGAGAAAAACGCTCGGAACGAGCGCTTCGAGCCCCAAAAACGGAAGGATCCGCACATGTGCAGGAAGTGCAGCGGGCGCTCTTCATTCGCAAGCGCCGATGACCGACGATGCTCGCAACCCTCCCACGCCCTTGCTGGCTTGGTAATAGGACAAGAGAAGCATAGCCACGTGACCTGGCGGAAGAAAAACGCTCGGAACGAGCGCTTCCACCCCCAAAACGCAAAAACGGAAGGATCCACACATGTGCAAGAAGTGCAGCGAACGTTCTTCATTCGCGAGCGCCGATGACCGATGATGCTCGCAACCCTCCCACGCCCTTGCTGGCTTGTCAATAGGCCTAGACAAGCGCAGCCACATGACCCGGCGGAAGAAAAACGCTCGGAACGAGCGCATCCATCCCCAAAACGAGGAAGGATCAGCACACGTGCAGGATGTGTAGCGGGCGCTCTTCATTCGCGAGCGCTGTTGACCGATCATTCTCGCAACCCTCCCACGCCCATGCTGGCTTGGTAATAGGCTGAGACAAGCGCAGACAGGTGAACCGGCGGAAGAAAAACACCCAGAACAAGCGCTTCCAGTCCCAAAATGCAGAAGGATCCGCACATGTGCAGGAAGTGGAGCGAGCGCTTTTCATTCGCGAGTGCCGATGACCGATGATGCTCGCAACCCTCCCACGCCCTTGCTGGCTTGGTAATAGGACCCGACAAGCGCAGCGACGTGACTTGGCGGAAGAAAAACCCTCGGAATGAGCGATTCCACCCCCAAAACGCGGAAGGATCTGCACATGTGCAGGAAGTGCAGCGGGCGCTCTTCATTCGCGAGCGCCGATGACCGATGATGCTCGCAACCCTCCCACGCCCTTGCTGGCTTGGTAATAGGACCAGATAAGCACACCCACGTGACCCGGCGGAAGAAAAAGCTCTCGGAACAAGCGCTTCCACCACGAGAACGCGGAAGGATTCGCACATGTGCAGGAAGTGCAGCGGGCGCTCTTCATTCGCGAGCGCCGATGACCGATGATGCTCGCAACCCTCCCACGCCCTTGCTGGCTTGGTAATAGGTCCAGAATAGTGCAGCCACGTGACACCTATCACTACCATTACCATTAGTATGACAATTACAATTATCATTACCATTACAACTATCACTACCATTACCGTTAGCAATACAATTACCATTACTATTATCACTACAATTACCATTACTATTACCACTACCATTACCATTACCATAACTATTGTCACTACAACTACCATTATCATTACCATTACCATTAACACTACCATTACAATTACCATTCCCATTACCATTACAATTACCATTACCATTAGCAATACTACTACCATTACCACTACCATTACAATTACCATTACCGTTACCAATACCACTACCATTACCATTACCGGAACGAGCGCTTCCACCCCCAAAAACGCAGAAGGATCCGCACATGTGGAGGAAGTGCAGCGGGCGCTCTTCATTCGCGAGCGCCGATGACCGATGATGCTCGGTAATAGGACCAGACAAGCCCAGCCACTTGACTTGGCGGAAGAAAAACGCTCGGAATGAGCGATTCCACCCCCAGAACGCGGAAGGATCCGCACATGTGCAGGAAGTGCTGCGGGCGCTCTTCATTCGCGAGCGCCGATGACAAATGATGCTTGCAACCCTCCCCACCCTTGCTGGCTTGGTAATAGGACCAGACAAGCGCAGCCACGTGTTTTGGCGGAGGAAAAACGCTCGGAACGAGCGATTCCACCCCCAAAACGCGGAAGGATCTGCACATCTGCAGGAAGTGCAGCGAGCGGTCTTCATTCGCGAGCGCCGATGACCGATGATGCTCGCAACCCTCGCCCCTTCCTCAATTGGTAATAGGACCAGACAAGTGCAGCCACGTGGCCCGGCGGAAGAAAAACGCTCTGAACGAACGCTTCCACCCCCACAACGCGGAAGGACCCGCACATGTGTAGGAAGTGCAGCGGGCGCTCTTCATTCGAAAGCCCCGATGACCGACGACGCTCGCAACCCTCCTATGCCCTTGCTGGCTTGGTTATATGCACAGACAAGCACAGCCACGTGACCTAGTGGAAGAAAAACGCTCGAAACGAGCGCTTGCAGCCCCAAAATGCGGAAGGATCCGCACATGTGCAGGAAGTGCAGCGTGCACTCTTCATTCACGAGCGACGATGACGGATGATGGTCGCAACACTCCCACGCCCTTGCTGGCTTGGTAATAGGCCCAGACAAGCGCTGCCACATGACCCTGCGGAAGAAAAACGCTCGTAACGAGCGCTTCCATCCCCAAATGCGGAAGGATTCGCACATGTGCAGGAAATGCAGCGGGCGCTCTTCATTCGCGAGCGCCGATGACCGATGATGCTCGCAACCCTCCCACACCCTTGCTGGCTTGCTTGGAGATAGGACCAGACAAGCGCAGCCACGTGACTTGGCGGAAAAAAAACGCTCGGAACGAGTGATTCCACCCCCAGAACGCGGAAGGATCCGCACATGTGCAGGAAGTGCAGCGGGCGCTCTTCATTCGCGAGCGCCGATGATTGATGATGCTCGCAACCCTCCCCACCCTTGCTGGCTTGGTAATAGGACCAGACAAGCGCAGCCACGTGACTTGGCGGAAGAAAAACGCTCGGAACGAACAATTCCACCACCAGAACGCGGAAGGATCCGCACATGTGCAGGAAGTCCAGCGGGCGCTCTTCATTCGCGAGCGTCGATGACCGATGATGCTCGCAACCCTCCTACGCCCTTGCTGGCTTTGTAATAGGACCGGACAAGTGCAGCCACGTGACACGGCGGAAGAAAAACGCTCGAAACGAGTGATGACCGATGATGCTCGCAACCCTCCTACGCCCTTGCTGGCTTTGTAATAGGCCCAGACAAGCGCAGCCACGTGACACGGCGGAAGAAAAACGCTCGGAACGAGCGCTTCCACCCCCAAAACGCGAAAGGATCCGCACATGTGCAAAAAGTGCAGCGGGCGCTCTTCATTCGCGAGCGTCGATGACCGATGATGCTCGCAACCCTCCCCACCCTTGCTGGCTTGGTAATAGGACTAGACAAGCGCAACCTTGTGACTTAGGGGAGGAAAAACGCTCGAAACAAGCGATTCCACCCCCAAAACGCGGAAGGATCTGCACATGTGCAGGAAGTGCAGCGGGCGCTCTTCATTCGCGAGCGCCGATGACCGATGATGCTCGCAACCCTCCCCACCCTTGCTGGCTTGGTAATAGGACCAGAGAAGCGCAACCACGTGACTTGGCGGAGGAAAAACGCTCGGAACGAGCGATTCCACCCCCAAAACGCGGACGGATATGCACATGTGCAAGAAGTGCAGCGAGCGGTCTTCATTTGCGAGAGCCGATGACCGATGATGCTCGCAACTTTCGCCCTTCCTGGATTGGTAATAGGACCCGACAAGTGCAGCCACGTGACCCGGCGGAAGAAAAACGCTCTGAACGAACGCTTCCACCCCCACAACGCGAAAGGATCCGCACATGTGCAGGAAGTGCAGCGGGCGCTCTTTATTCTCAAGCGCCGATGACCGACGACGCTCACAACCCTCCCATGCCCTTGCTGGCTTGGTAATAGGCCCAGACAAGCACAGCCACGTGACCCAGTGGAAGAAAATTGCTCGGAACGAACGCTTCCAGCCCCAAAATGCGGAAGGATCCGCACATGTGCAGGAAGTGCAGCGTGCACTCTTCATTCACGAGCGACGATGACCGATGATGGTCGCAACACTCCCACGCCCTTGCTGGCTTGGTAATAGGCCCAGACAAGCGCAGCCACATGACCCTGCGGAAGAAAAACGCTCGTATCGAGCGCTTCCATCCCCAAATGCGGAAGGATCCGCACATATGCAGGAAATGCAGCGGGCGCTCTTCATTCGCGAGCGCCGATGACCGATGATGCTCGCAACCCTCCCACGCCGTCGACCTCCTGGTTGAACTGCAGGTTGACAGACTGCTCCCAGTCGAGCTGCAGATCGACGGACTGCTTCCGGTCAAGCTGCAGGTTGACGGACTGCTCTCGGTCGAGCTGCAGGTCGACGGAGGCCTCCCGGTCGAAATGCCTCTCCTGGTCGACGGCCCACCCGTCACCTAGACCAGTCAGTTGCAGCTATCGAGCTCCCTGGTCGACAGCAGCACCACAGCGGTCCCCTGCAGCTCGACGATGCCTGTCGAGCAGCTCACCCACTGTGAACGGTCGGCTGCTACTCCCATACATCCGACCAAGTCGTCGGCGTTGCCCAAGCGAGGGCGGGGCCAACACTCCATTCTTGTTAACAGGAGAATAGGGCGGGGTGATGGAAAGCGGGAGAATGGGGCGGGGTGATGGAAAGCGGGAGAATGGGGCGGGGTGATGGAAGGAGGGAGAATAGGGCGGGGTGATGGAAGGAGGAAGAATGGGGCGGGGTGATGGAAAGAGAATGGGGGGGGGGGGGTGATAGAAAGCGGGAGAATGGGGCGGGGTGATGGAAAGCGGTAGAATGGGGTGGGGTGATGGAAAGCGGGAGAATGGGGTGGGGTGATCGAAAGCGGGAGAATGGGGCGGGGTGATGGAAAGCGGGAGAATAGGGTGGGGTGATGGAAGGAGGGAGAATGGGGCGGGGTGATGGAAAGCGGGAGAATGGGGCAGGGTGATGGAAAGCAGGAGAATAGGGCGGGGTGATGGAAGGAGGGAGAATGGGCCGGGGTGATGGAAAGCGGGAGAATGGGGTGGGGTGATGGAAGGAGGGAGAATGGGGCGGGGTGATGGAAGGAGGGAGAATGGGGCGGGGTGATGGAAGGAGGGAGAATGGGGCGGGGTGATGAAAAGCGGGAGAATGGGGTGGGGTGATGGAAAGCGGGAGAATGGGGCGGGGTGATGGAAAGCGGGAGAATGGTGCGGGGTGATGGAAAGCGGGGGAATGGGGCGGGGTGATGGAAAGCAGGAGAATGGGGCGGGGTGATGGAAGGAGGGAGAATGGGGCGGGGTGATGGAAAGCGGGAGAATGGGGCGGGGTGATGGAAAGCGAGAGAATGGGGCGGGGTGATGGAAAGCGGGAGAATGGGGCGGGGTGATGGAAAGCGGGAGGAGAATGGGGCGGGGTGATGGAAAGCGGGAGAATGGGGTGGGGTGATGGAAAGCAGGAGAATGGGGCGGGGTGATGGAAAGCGGGAGAATGGGGCGGGGTGATGGAAAGCGGGAGAATGGGGCGGGGTGATGGAAAGCGGGAGAATGGGGCGGGGTGATGGAAGGAGGGAGAATGGGGCGGGGTGATGGAAAGCGGGAGAATGGGGCGGGGTGATGGAAAGCGGGAGAATGGGACGGGGTGATGGAAAGCAGGAGAATGGGGCGGGGTGATGGAAGGAGGGAGAATGGGGCGGGGTGATGGAAAGCGGGAGAATGGGGCGGGGTGATGGAAAGCGGGAGAATGGGGCGGGGTGATAGAAAGTGGGAGAATGGGGCGGGGTGATGGAAAATGGGAGAATGGGGAGGGGTGATGGAAAGCGGGAGAATGGGGCAGGGTGATGGAAAGAGAATGGGGCGGGGTGATGGAAAGCGGGAGAATGGGGCGGGGTGATGGAAAGGGGTAGAATGGGGCGGGGTGATGGAAAGCGGGAGAATGGGGCGGGGTGATGGAAGGAGGGAGAATGGGGCGGGGTGATGGAAGGATGGAGAATGGGGCGGGGTGATGGAAAGCGGGAGAATGGGGCGGGGTGATGGAAAGCAGGAGAATTTGGCGGGGTGATGGAAAGCGGGAGAATGGGGCGGGGTGATGGAAAGCGGGAGAATGGGGCGGGGTGATGGAAAGCGGGAGAAGCGGGGTGATGGAAAGCGGGAGAATGGGGCGGGGTGATGGAAAGCGGGAGAATGGGGCGGGATGATGGAAAGCGGGAGAATGGGGCGAGGTGATGGAAAGTGGGAGAATGGGGCGGGGTGATGGAAGGAGGGAGAATGGGTCGGGGTGATGGAAGGAGGGAGAATGGGGCGGGGTGATGGAAAGCGGGAGAATGGGGCGGGGTGATGGAAAGCGGGAGAATGGGGCGGGTTGATGGAAAGCGGGAGAATGGGCCGGGGAGATGGAAAGCGGGAGAATGGGGCGGGGTGATGGAAGGAGGGGGTGATGGAAGGAGGGAGAATGGGGCGGGGTGAGGGAAGGAGGGAGAATGGGGCGGGGTGATGGAAGGAGGGAGAATGGGGCGGGGTGATGGAAAGCGGGATAATGGGGCGGGGTGATGGAAAGAGGGAGAATGGGGCTGGGTGATGGAAAGCGGGAGAATGGGGCGGGGTGATGGAAAGCGGGAGAATGGGGTAGGGTGATGGAAAGCGGGAGAATGGGGCGGGGTGATGGAAGGAGGGAGAATGGGGCGGGGTGATGGAAAGCGGGAGAATGGTGCGGGGTGATGGAAAGCGGGAGAATGGGACGGGGTGATGGAAAGCGGGAGAATGGGGCGGGGTGATGGAAGGAGGGAGAATGGGGCGGGGTGATGGAAAGCGGGAGAATGGGGTGGGGTGATAGAAAGTGGGAGAATGGGGCGGGGTGATGGAAAATGGGAGAATGGGGCGGGGTGATGGAAAGCGGGAAAATGGGGCGGGGTGATGGAAAGCGGGAGAATGGGGCGGGGTGATGGAAAGCGGGAGAATAGGGCTAGGTGATGGAAAGCGGGAGAATGGAACGGGGTGATGGAAAGCGGGAGAATGGGGCGGGGTGATGGAAAGCGGGAGAATGGGGCGGGGTGATGGAAGGAGGGAGAATGGGGCGGGGTGATGGAAGGAGGGAGAATGGGGCGGGGTGATGGAAAGCGGGAGAATGGGGAGGGGTGATGGAAAGCGGGACAATGGGGCGGGGTGATGGAAAGCGGGAGAATGGGGCTGGGAGATGGAAAGCGGGAGAATGGGGCGGGGTGATGGAAGGAGGGGGTTGTTATGTGATGCTATCATTTGTATTCACGTCTTTCTGCCTCCCATTATATGTTCGTGCGTTGCATGCGTGGTGTGAGCGTGTGCAAGAATTTGTGTTTTCTGTGGTTTGAATTTTCTGAGTGTGTGTGAATGTTATTTGGCTTGAGCAGATATCTGAAGTGACTCTTCTGCTCAAGAGCTTTCCGACGAACCAAGAATCGTCGCGATCGGAGCAAGAACGAGGAAGTTGTGATCGTTCAAAGATTTGTTTGTGTTGCGACGACTTTGGGAAGTTGTGAAGTGACTCAATGTGGGGTACAGACTTTTGGGGGTTGGGAAATTCGTCCCCATCACTGTAGATGCTGCCAAATGGTTGGGAGAAACCAAATTGGGTTGGCAAGTGTGGCCAACTTGGGTGAGGTGGATTGTGGAGGTTGGGAAATGGACGAAGGTCAAAGTGGGTTTCCTATAGGGGAGGGATTTGGTGTGCTTATGGGGTTTCTTTGGTTGGGGAATCCTTAAGGACCTTCCCTCTTGTCCTCCTCTTCCCCTCCCACCTGGTTAATTGCTACTCCAACTCTCTCTAAGCGGGAGAATGGGGCGGGGTGATGGAAAGCGGGAGAATGGGGCGGGGTGATGGAAAGCGGGAGAATGGGGCGGGGTGATGGAAGGAGGGAGAATGGGGCGGGGTGATGGAAGGAGGGAGAATGGGGTGGGGTGATGGAAGGAGGGAGAATGGGGCGGGGTAATGGAAGGAGAGAGAATGGGGCGGGGTGATGGAAAGCGGGAGAATGGGGCGGGGTGATGGAAGGAGGGAGAATGGGGCGGGGTGATGGAAGGAGGGAGAATGGGGCGGGGTGATGGAAGGAGGGAGAATGGGGCGGGGTAATGGAAGGAGAGAGAATGGGGCGGGGTGATGGAAAGCGGGAGAATGGGGCGGGGTGATGGAAAGCGGGAGAATGGGGCGGGTTGATGGAAGGAGGGAGAATGGGGCAGGGTGATGGAACGCGGGAGAATGGGGCGGGGTGATGGAAAGCGAGAGAATGGGGCGGGTGATGGAAAGCGGGAGAATGGGGCGGGGTGATGGAAGGAGGGAGAATGGGGCGGGGTGATGGAAAGAGAATGGGGCGGGGTGATGGAAAGCGGGAGAATGGGGCGGGGTGATGGAAAGCGGTAGAATGGGGCGGGGTGATGGAAAGCGGGAGAATGGGGCGGGGTGATGGAAAGCGGGAGAATGGGGCGGGGTGATGGAAGGAGGGAGAATGGGGCGGGGTGATGGAAAGCCGGAGAATGGGGCGGGGTGATGGAAAGAGGGAGAATGGGGCGGGGTGATGGAAAGAGGGAGAATGGGGCGGGGTGATGGAAGGAGTGAGAATGGGGCGGGGTGATGGAAAGCGGGAGAATGGGGCGGGGTGATGGAAAGCGGGAGAATGGGGCGGGGTGATAGAAAGCGGGAGAATGGGGCGGGGTGATGGAAAGCGAGAGAATGGGGCGGGGTGATGGAAAGCGGGAGAATGGGGCGGGGTGATGGAAAGCAGGAGAATGGGGGAGGGTGATGGAAAGCGGGAGAATGGTTCGAGGTGATGGAAGGAGGGAGAATGGGGCGGGGTGATGGAAGGAGGGAGAATGGGGCGGGGTGATGGAAAGCGGGAGAATGGGGCGGGTGATGGAAAGCGGGAGAATGGGGCGGGGTGATGGAAGAAGGGAGAATGGGGCGGGGTGATGGAAAGCGGGAGAATGGGGCGGGGTGATGGAAAGCGGGAGAATGGGGCGGGGTGATGGAAAGCGGGAGAATGGGGCGGGGTGATGGAAAGCGGGAGAATGGGGCGGGGTGATGGAAAGCGGGAGAATGGGGCGGGGTGATGGAAATCGGGAGAATGGGACGGGGTGATGGAAAGCGGGAGAATGGGGTGGGGTGATGGAAAGCGGGAGAATGGGGCGGGGTGATGGAAAGCGGGAGAATGGGGCGGGGTGATGGAAGGAGGGAGAATGGGGCGGGTTGATGGAAAGCGGGAGAATGGGGCGGGGTGATGGAAAACGGGAGAATGGGGCGGGGTGATGGAAAGCGGGAGAATGGGGCGGGGTGATGGAAAGCGGGAGAATGGGGCGGGGTGATGGAAAGCGGGAGAATGGGGCGGGGTGATGAAAATCGGGAGAATGGGACGGGGTGATGGAAAGCGGGAGAATGGGGTGGGGTGATGGAAGGAGGGAGAATGGGGCGGGGAGATGGAAGGCGGGAGAATGAAGCGGGGTGATGGAAAGCGGGAGAATGAAGCGGGGTGATGGAAACCGGGAGAATGGGGCGGGGTGATGGAAAGCGGGAGAATGGAGCAGGGTGATGGAAAGCGGGAGAATGGGGCGGGGTGATGGAAAGCGGGAGAATGGGGCGGGGTGATGGAAATCGGGAGAATGGGGCGGGGTGATGGGAAGCGGGAGAATGGGGCGGGGTGATGGAAAACGGGAGAATGGGGCGGGGTGATGGAAAATGGGAGAATGGGGCGGGGTGATGGAAAGCGGGAGAATGGGGCGGGGTGATGGAAAGCGGGAGAATGGGGCGGGGTGATGGAAAGCGGGAGAATGGGGCGGGGTGATGGAAAGCGGGAGAATGGGGCGGGGTGATGGAAAGCGGGAGAATGGGGCGGGGTGATGGAAGGAGGGAGAATAGGGCGGGGTGATGGAACGAGGGAGAATGGGGCGGGGTGATGGAAGGAGGGGGAATAAGGCAGGGTGATGGAAGGAGAGAGAATCGGGCGGGGTGATGGAAAGCGGGAGAATGGGGCGGGGTGATGGAAAGCGGGAGAATGGGGCGGGGTGATGGAAAGCGGGAGAATGGGGCGGGGTGATGTAAGGAGGGAGAATGGGGCGGGGTGATGGAAAGTGGGAGAATGGGGCTGGGTGATGGAAAGCGGGAGAATTGGGCGGGTTGATGGAAAGCGGGAGAATGGGGCGGGGAGATGGAAAGCGGGAGAATGGGGCGGGGTGATGGAAGGAGGGGGTGATGGAAGAAGGGAGAATGGGGCGGGGTGAGGGAAGGAGGGAGAATGGGGCGGGGTGATGGAAGGAGGGAGAATGGGGCGGGGTGATGGAAAGTGGGAGAAAGGGGCGGGGTGATGGAAAGCGGGAGAATGGAGCGGGGTGATGGAAAGCGGGAGAATGGGGCGGGGTGATGGAAAGCGGGAGAATGGGGCGGGGTGATGGAAAGCGGGAGAATGGGGCGGGGTGATGGAAAGCGGGAGAATGGGGCGGGGTGATGGAAAGAGGGAGAATGGGGCGGGGTGATGGAAAGGGGGAGAATGGGGCGGGGTGATGGAAAGCGGGAGAATGGGGCAGGGTGATGGAAAACGGGAGAATGGGGCGGGGTGATGGAAAGCGGGAGAATGGGGCGGGGTGATGGAAATCAGGAGAATGGGGCGGGGTGATGGAAAGCGGGAGAATGGGGCGGGGTGATGGAAAGCGGGAGAATGGGGCGGGGTGATGGAAGGAGGGAGAATGGGGCGGGGTGATGGAAGGAGGGAGAATGGGGCGGGTTGATGGAAAGCGGGAGAATGGGGCGGGGTGATGGAAAGCGGGAGAATGGGGCGGGGTGATGGAAGGAGGGAGAATAGGGCGGGGTGATGGAAGGCGGGAGAATGGGGCGGGGTGATGGAAAGCGGGACATTGGGGCGGGATGATGGAAAGCGGGAGAATGGGGCGGGGTGATGGAAAGCGGGAGAATGGGGCGGGGTGATGGAAGGAGGGAGAATGGGGCGGGGTGATGGAACACGGGAAAATGGGGCGGGGTGATGGAAAGCGGGAGAATAGGGCGGGTGATGGAAAGCGGGAGAATGGGGCGGGGTGATGGAAGGAGGGAGAATGGGGCGGGGTGATGGAAAGCGGGAGAATGGGGCGGGGTGATGGAAAGCGGGAGAATGGGGCGGGGTGATGGAAAGCGGGAGAATGGGGCGGGGTGATGGAAAGCGGGAGAATGGGGCGGGGTGATGGAAGGAGGGAGAATGGGGCGGGGTGATGGAAAGCGGGAGAATGGGGCGGGGTGATGGAAGGAGGGAGAATGGGGCGGGGTGATGGAAAGCGGGAGAATGGGGCGGGGTGATGGAAAGCGGGAGAATGGGGCGGGGTGATGGAAAGCGGGAGAATGGGGCGGGGTGATGGAAAGCGGGAGAATGGGGCGGGGTGATAGAAATCGGGAGAATGGGGCGGGGTGATGGAAAGCGGGAGAATGGGGCGGGGTGATGGAAGGAGGGAGAATGGGGCGGGGTGATGGAAGGCGGGAGAATGGGGCGGGGTGATGGAAAGCGGGAGATTGGGGCGGGATGATGGAAAGCGGGAGAATGGGGCGGGGTGATAGAAAACGGGAGAATGGGGCGGGGTGATGGAAAGCGGGAGAATGGGGCGGGGTGATGGAAGGAGGGAGAATGGGGCGGGGTGATGGAAAGCGGGAGAATGGGGCGGGTGATGGAAAGCGGGAGAATGGGGCGGGGTGATGGAAGAAGGGAGAATGGGGCGGGGTGATGGAAAGCGGGAGAATGGGGCGGGGTGATGGAAAGCGGGAGAATGGGGCGGGGTGATGGAAATCGGGAGAATGGGGCGGGGTGATGGAAAGCGGGAGAATGGGGCGGGGTGATGGAAGGAGGGAGAATGGGGCGGGGTGATGGAAAGCGGGAGAATGGGGCGGGGTGATGGAAGGAGGGAGAATGGGGCGGGGTGATGGAAAGCGGGAGAATGGGGCGGGTGATGGAAAGCGGGAGA